TCTTTCAATAGTCATAACATTTGTTCATGGTCCGAAAATGGGTATTTCAGCACTAAAAGGTGTACAAAAGAATTGCCTTTGCCAAGGTTTATTAACTGTTTCCATCTCCCTTAAAGGTGAAATGATTGGCAAGTTGACTTTGATTACAACTGAGATAATCTCGGAAGCTGCTGCATTGGATTAGATTGAGAACTTTTTATTAAATTGATGTCTTAATTGATGTTTATACCTGTTGAAATAAAGAAGTCCTTGGGGGTATGTTTCCATCCTTGACAAAATGTGTTCTTGAATTGCGCTAACGATATGTACCTAGTCATCTCCTGAAGGGGAATAGTATGAGACTCGCCAACTATTGCTTTTCCGTTCGAAAATGAATACTTTTTTTTTTAATCGTTGTTGTCTTTCATCCACACTAAAAAACATCGATGAAATACAAACTAACTAGAAATCTTGAGTAGGTCGTGGGATTTGCTAGCCGTATTCATGCGATCAACAAGAGGTATTCCACTTCATGATTGCCCTTGGTTTATACAATAGAATTTGAAATATAAAAGTTTGACACTAAACAGAACAACAAGTTCCTTTTACAGCTGCACGACAATCCAGCTTATTCAAATGGAATATCAGGTTACATACATTTTTCCTACATTCTACCAATTGAATTTGAATGATTGACCCCTATCTGGTGAATGTAGCATGCGTGGCGAGGTTCTAAAGAAGGGAATAGGGGTGAATGGGAAAAAAATAAAATAAGATAACAACACTCGATTTTCTACAGTGCCTCTTAAGGTCTGTTCGTGACTGACAGAGCCCATTACTGTTCACCTGAAAACCATGTGATCCCCCCAAAAATTCCGCTGGCAATAAAATGATTAGTGGTCGCTTTAGTCACGGTCTGCCATTCACTTCCTGTAATTTTAGCTTTCGTGTCTAGCCCTCACTTTAACACTTGAAGTTATTCAAAATTGTCATCTACCAGACAATCTGTTGACGAAAGGTGAAAGGAGAAGTGACGTAAATGATCTCCCGACAAACACTGGTTTGTTGTACAGCATTTTCACTATCCTACTCACGAGTAACTCCGATCTCACAATCAATCAACCCAAATCACCTATAATATTTCTGTACTTCCGTCACGAACCTATCAACAAATTCAATGTAACGCTTCGGTGACGACCGCCACTTGTGAGAGTACAAGTGATAAATCTCTCAAGAAAGATAGATCTTCCTTTGATTAACTACAAAACAAAGAGAAGCGTAATTTTGATTCCTTGACCCACTTTATCTTTGGTTGTGGATACGCGAAGCGTAGAAACGACCGTTATCAGGGGTCAGAATATGCAAATTTGTCACTCACTCAGATGTAAACAAGTCGATATGTCGACGGCAGACCAATTGCTATCGACTTCCCGAGATAATACTGGGACGCGTCTGTCGACTTTCCGAAGTAACTGCCGCGACGTTGAAATAGAATTCGATTTTCCTTCGAGAAAGTTTCGACTAATACTCGTCGTAGTAAGCACATGGTAGTAAGCTGTGTAGACGCTGAATGCGAAGAGTGTTTGACCCCTCGAGAAGTCAGCTCGTCGATCCTCCAAGCTCACATTGGGTTTATAAATGGTGAACCTTTTACGAGTGAATCTTACAAGCGAAACTTTGATCGTACTCAAAAGGGAAACTATGAGCACTCGTATCAGCTAAAGTATAAATCAAACATAGGGTTAAACAAAGCTATTAGAAACACGAGTAACACAACTGATCAGTCCATAATATCCAAGCAAAACACTCTTGTGGCCAAGCAGAACGAAACACAGTCAGAAGACTGATCTGAAATCATACAGGAACGAAGAAGTAGGTTAAAGTCCAATCGTATTAGCAAAGCGTCTGTCGTGATAGTGAACCATCGAGTTTACCGTAGAAGAAAATCCTGAACTTATTAAACAAGATTAGAGCGATTAAGAGGTATGTAAGGTCTCGTATTGTGCAAAGTTTGCCACATTCGTCAGCGTTGAAAACGATTTTATGGCTTGATTACCGTAATTATCTTAAAACCAGACTGTAAAGAAGTTAACCAGTTGAAATCACTCGTGTATAAGGTCCAAGGTTGTATTTTGCATTTGATTGTGTTTATGTTTTCAAAACAAGAACTGCAAAGCATGAAAAGACATGTGAAGTATCAGTTATTTTTCATGATGAATTTGTACATGTTGTTCAATGTTGTTCAATAAAGTGTAAGAAACGAAATCACAAGTATTTTGTTTCAAGGGCAAAGTTACTTACTTCAGGAGATATCGAGTTAAACCCGAGACCTGTCACTCAAGTAAATAATCCAAACCATCTTGATTAATTTTACAATCTCCATTAGCTCAAATTGGCTAGAGAATATTAGATGTTGGTGGTGCAGGGGATTGTTTCTTTATAGTTGTGTCCCATCAGTTGTATGGTGAACCTTGCTATTACTGCTGCAGATACTCAATAACAAGAACCACATATGACTGAAAATGTTAACAAGATAATAACTTTTGCATCAGGAGAAGGAAACAGACCTTTAAGTATTTAAATGGACAAAGACTCTGAATTCCTATCATTTCCAACTATTTACTGAGCTGATAATAAAGACAGAATGACACCTGTCCATTACAGTACAATATATAAGTGGCACAATCACTACCAAGCATCCAAGCATCTTTTAATAATTAAAAAAGTTAAGAATTAAACAAATTCAAATTGTGCCTAGATCTCTCTAAGAAAGTGTAACACAAAAGGCAACAAATATACTACAGGTTTTGCTCATTGTCAGCAGCAGAAACAAGATGGTCACATCTCTTGAAAATATTAGGTAGACTTGTATAAAAGACTACACTGACTATGAAATTGAGAATATGACTTGGCAATAAAGGTCAGATGTTATTTAAAAGGACCCTGTAAACTGATAGCCAACCAGCCAGTCATTCATTTGCAATTTTGTGGGGATTCGACTGCAATTCAATGGAATATTATTTGAAAAGAACAAGGAGGAATGCAGTGTGAAACTTATTCACAACCTGCAGCACATTCATACAAATGTTACGTTAAAAATCTGCCATAAAAAGTGTACACTTTTATGGCAAAAGTGAAGCTAAAGGAATGACGCAGGTCAAATGATAGCCAAAATGTGAACTCTGACTATTCACCCAACATCACCCCAGCAGTCAACTCTATCCAAGAGTTACCCATTGGCTACCTATGTTAACATGTAAAAGTGTATTTTTTTTATAAAGAGAAATTTATTTATATTCAAAACCCATTTAAATGTTAAAGTGTCCACAACTTATTCACAGTTTCCTTGTCTATCAACCTTCCTGGTTAGGCAGATTTTGGTAAAGGATGTGCTCCAGTAGGTTGGCACAGGGTCTCTAAGTGATCCAATCTTGTGACTCCATTTTCAGGAGAGACTGAAGACCTGGAAGACCACATGTTTGAATTGTGACTGAAGGTGTCCTGTGAGATAAGGAAATTTTCAACTTAGTATCCATTGCATTGGTATCACTTCACTTTGCTCTATCAGTGGTTCAGCAAACTTGCCAGTTTCTCACCTGGTCAGATGCTATACTTCACTAACCCAATGGTAACAACCCTTTAACCACTGAGAGCTGACCAGCATCTTATTTCCCCCTACACTATCAACCATGAATCAAACAGGAAGGTCACGAGGGTAAAGGAAATAATCACCAACTGAAGAAGCTCTCAATTGCCAAACAAATCATTCTTGTATATATAGAACAGTATGGAGAATGTACATTATGATGTTTGGGTGTCAAAGGTTAATCACTCAAGCCTTCCTGCTCTTTGAAAAGTGGGCTTTCTGTTTGTTTTCATTTAGAGTTATTACTTAGTCATCGTGATTGTCCTCAATTGTGATAACTTTAAATACTCAATTGAAATGCGTGCTACATTTAGGAGTCACTCTCATCTCAATGTCACAAAAGGCTGAGCCATAAACTTAAAATAAATTTCAGAAGACATTCTTGTTGATAAAAAAGGCCACAATAACATTACTGCATTGAGACTAGGAAAGCATTTTGACTAACTGCAGCATATCTAGCTAGAATTGCTTAATGTGACCTCTTCTGGAACAAAAACTGACTCAAAAGAAGCACTGTGAAACAAACAGGAATGGGCAATAATGATTTTAGATATATGAAATTCACATATTTGCACTGTGGTGAAGAAACGAATTTAAGAGATCCTCGCAACTAAGAACACTACTGAACTAGTAGTTGAAAATAAGACCTGGAAAAAATTCAGGCCCGTACGGGATTTGAACCCATGACCTCTGCAATACTAGTGCAGTGCTCTTCCAACTGAGCTAACAAGCCAACTGGGAGCTGGTCAATATGTTGGGTCCAAATAAACCATCCAGCCCAGGAGTGGGCAAATTTAGAAAGAATATCAAAAACTTAAAAAACAGCACCCCATAAGGAACCACTCATTATTTATCTCGTGGGGGATGGGGGTGTCAGAAGATTTTGGGGAGAATCAAACAGTTTTCAGTGGTAACAGAAAGGGGTTCAGAGTATAACATAGTAGCACTGTGGTGAAGAAACGAATTTAAGAGATCCTCGCAGCTAAGAACACTACTGAACTAGTAGTTGAAAATAAGACCTGGAAAAAATTCAGGCCCGTACGGGATTTGAACCCATGACCTCTGCAATACTAGTGCAGTGCTCTTCCAACTGAGCTAACAAGCCAACTGGGAGCTGGTCAATATGTTGGGTCCAAATAAACCATCCAGCCCAGGAGTTGGCAAATTTAGAAAGAATATCAAAAACTTAAAAAACAGCACCCCATAAGGAACCCCTCATTATTTATCTCGTGGGGGATGGGGGTGTCAGAAGATTTTGGGGAGAATCAAACAGTTTTCAGTGGTAACAGAAAGGGGTTCAGAGTATAACATAGTAGAAAGGGAAAACTCTAGAAAAATGACGGCCAATGGGGGGGGTTATTACAATATTACATCCATCCTCCACCAATGCAGTCTCCAAACTCTTCCCTATTCATGGAACAGTACAGATCTTCATTGCCTAATGTCAGGGTATAGGCCTTTCTTGGGCTGCCACTGAGAAGAGAGCATCAGTGTGTCCTGTCTGTTGACTCCTGTGCAGTAGTTATTTGGAATGTCAGGCAACACATGGTGTCCTGTGAGATAAGGAAATTCTAAACTTAGTATCCACTGCATTGGTATCACTTCACTTTGCTCTATCAGTGGTCCAGCAAACTTGCACCAATCTCTCACCTGGTCAGATGCTATAGTTAACCCAATTGTGACAACCCTTTAACCACTTAGAGCTGACCAGCATCTAATTTCTCCTTACACTATCAACCCTGAATCAAACAGGAAGATCACGAGGTTAAAGGAAATAACAACCAACTGAAGAAGCTCTCAATTGTCAAACAAATTATTCTTGTATAATTATGGAGAACAGTATGGAGAATGTACATTATGAAGTTAGGGTGTAGAAGGTTAATCACTCAAGCCTTCCTGCTCTTTGAAAGGTAGGCTTTGTTTGTGTTTTCATTTAGAGTTATTATTTAGTCATTGTGATTGTCTTTTGTGATTACTTTGAATACTCAATCAAAATGTGCACTACATTTAAAGGTTACTCTTGTCTCAGAGTCACAAAAGGCTAAGCCAAGAACTTCAGAAGATCTCAGAGGACATCCTTATTTATAGAAAGTGCTGTATAGCGTGTCAATGTAAAGTGTCACAATATCTTCACTGCATTAACACTAGGAAAGCATTTTGACCAACATTATATCTAGGATGGCTTATTGTGATATCCTCCAAAAAAAACAAAAACTGACTTAAAAGAGGCACATGAAACAAACAGGAGTGGGAAAAATTAAAGGGAAGACAAATTTAGTATCAAAAACTAAAAAAAAAAAACTATGTCCCCTTTAAGGACCAGTCATAATCATTTTATCACTTAAAGTATGTTTTCAAAATTGAAAGCAATGAATGGGGAATTTAACCCTTTAACTCCCAGACCAAATTTGTATTTCTTCTTATAGTCAACCATACAATTCTTATAATGTTAGTTCAGAGAATTTATTATTGGATCAACTATTAAGTTGGGGATAATTATTATCCCCAACTTAATGGTTTTTTTTTTAATCTCATCACTTGTCTGGTTGATATTATGCTGATATTGTTAGGAGAAATTCTGTCTTGGTCACTCAGGGGAGTTAAAGGGTAAATGGATTCTTTATTATAAAACGAATAGAGAAGCCTTGGCAGTGTTCTGCTCTGTTGCAAAAGACCTTGAGAGGCAGCTTAAGCACTCAAGCACTTCTTTCATGCTCTAGTGGCTTCCTACTTGCTTTAAAACAACTGTTTCTTCTGCAAAATACCCACCAGCCCTCAATCCTTTGGTTCACCAGAGATGACCCATACTTGTGTGATTCTGCATCCTGCTGAAATGTACATTGCATAGCTGCCATTACACCATTTTCTGTTCCACAATCAGTCCCCAGTTTCACTGGACAGCCTTCTAACCCTGCAACACAATTCAAATAAAAATTGAAAATAATTTCTGGATGGTTGTTCAACCTTGCGACTGTTAGCCACATTATTTTCAACTCCATCCATCAATACAAATCCTGGACCACTAAGCTCATTCACGATTTGTTCCTGGCCAACGTCCATGTCAAAATATAGCAATCTTCTCCTTAAAGTTAAAATGCTTTAACCTACAACCTGTATTTTTCAATGTTCGTACACACGTCGTGATGCCTTGACACTTTGGCTAAAAATTCAGTGATACCTTAATACGTATATCCTTTTGAAAACTAGTATGAAGTTATGCTTTCTTCTTCTGGATGATCGCTTACTGAACTTGAAGAAGCCAATTTAGCTCAACTCCTCTACACGAACGGTACAAATATGGCGCTCTAATTAGCAGTGTGTAGCCAGAGCTAGTCCCAGGCTCCGCTCCCTTTCAGTGACAGGCTTAGTCACCAGTACTTTGAAATTTTGTCATGTTTCACTTAATTTTGGTTTGTTTTAGCTTGCTTTTCTGTAACAAAAAATTCCGTTGTGTTCTGGAAAAGATTGTTGTATTTCAAAAGAGAAATTGAGTTGTGATAAAAAGTAGATAAGTGCAGATATTCCAAACTATTATTTTAGCGATCAATTTTTATCCAACCGAAATTCCAAACCTTTGGACAACCTGAAAGCCATGATGAAAATTTAATGTAAACGACAGAAACTAAACCTTCTAAACCTTACCCACTGTACAGTAGTCCTGTTTCTCTTTTATTTTTTAGTCCTCAAGATCTGACAACTTGCCCATCATTTGTTTGCAAACTTTCTTTCGCTTACTAGCATCAGCACCAATGGCGAGATAAACCAAAGAGAGGACTGCTCAAAATTTCATAGCTGCCGTTTCACTGTCTTGAGTACCCCCTGATTTTAGTGAGTCTTGACTGTTTAACCCTTTCACCCTAAGAGTGACTAGCGTCTAATTTCTCCCTACAATATCACCCCTGAACCACACATTAAGGTCATGGGAATAAGGGAAATGATCACCAACCAAAAGAGCTTTTGATTACTAAACAAATTCTCCTTGTCAGCCTCTTTGGATTGTACGGAGAATAGTATGAAGAATTTGCATACTGATGTTAGGGTGTAAAGGGTTAAACAAAGAGAGTACCAATTTACTTTTTTGATCCTACTGTACAATTTCGCGGCAGTCTGTCTCAAATCGTTTTTAGATACAAATTCAAGCATCCTGCAGGAATTCAACTGAGATGCTATTGCAAACCCCGTCCTATCAACCCTTGAAATGCCTTTGACATTCCTTACAATTTTTCCTTACTTGACTGCATACTCCATCCTTATGCTTTGCTGAGAGAATTTCTATTTGCTGCAACCAACTGGCCAATAGCAATTATTCTGTTTACTGTAATATGATTATCCGCGTTTACTGGCAAACGTCGAATAATCATCGACACCGACGACACGTCAGTCAGTGTAATTTGTCGAATATTTCACGAATTTTTTATCTAAATCATCATAGACAAATGGGTAATGCATTAATAAACGAATTTTCATTTAAAGCATAAGCAGGGTCATTATGGGAATGTCCACCCTCGAGCGAAAACCTAGCCATCAGGTTTTTGCAATTTCAATAGAGCCCTCTCCCCCAAAGGCTTGCTTTTGACACTCAACCACCCTCCAGCCATGGAGTGTTAGCCCAGTGGCTGAAATGATAAGGAAGAAGCCTGACTATACCAATCCTGGAATGCAGGCCGTCAACCAAGACAAGCCCTCCCAGCCTTAGAGAAAAATGCCAATTAGACAAGGGTTTCAATAACCTATCCTCCCCACCCCTAGAGCTTTCCATCCTTGGCTAGGTTGGTGACTCAGCTGCATGCAGGGCACTAGCCTTGATATTAAGCCCTCTGCCTTTTTTATCGGCAAGTCTGACTTTAAGACGTGTGATGCTCTTAACCCTAGCCACCAAGGTTTTGCAGCCCCTCCTAAGCCTACTGCTTTGGACTGTCAACCACCCTCCAACCACAGGGTGTTCACCCACAAGCTGAGCTCTATCAGGGCATGAACCTGACTGTCAATCTTGCAATATATCGGGCATGTTTTTTTTAATCCAATCAGATATACTTTTTGGACATAAATGAAAAATTAAAACGCCATGCACTACCTGATTCTCGAAAATGAAATAAGACTCCCTCTTTGCCAAACTAAAGGCCCCATACATTGGCAAAGCAAAATCTTACCATAATATTTAATTCCTCTCAGCAACATCTTCCAGCTCAAGTCTTGTGCAGGTTGCTGCAAAAAATCACATACAAACAATCAAAATACATGAAAAGTATAGCATTCAACCATTTCCCACAAAAAAATTTGGCTTTCATTTATTACAGTGACCTGAAATAAATCTTTGAGTTTTAGACTTTTAGACTGTCACTTTGCTGCTAACGGAGCCATTACAGGATTGTCATAGGATTTACTTCAATTTTCAGCCCCTGGGGATCGAATATTGTAACACATTGCCTAGATTCAGAAATAGATACACAATGTTTTGAAAGATTTGAAACTTTATGTAGGAATACTAACCATCAGCAATCGTTTTCTCTCGCTCAGCTGTCATCGTGAAAATTGACCTATTTTGATTTCAGCGAGTCAAAACAAGGCTTTGAAACCTAATTTTTTCGACTTAGAAGGGAGCTTCATCACCCTTCTTCTTCACTTGGGTATCCCTCAAAGAAGAATACTCATTGCAATGGCGTTGAGATGTGAAGCAATCGGGAGAGAGTTAAAATGAGCCTGCTTACTCGCCTAATTTATGTAATTTTTTGTGCCTAACTTTATCATACTATCTTGAATGGGGAGTTTTTCCGTACGAATCTTTGCCCCACCGAATTTTGAAAATGTTACTGGAATTGGTCTACATACTTAATTTGAAGAAATGAAATTATCGTATTCTCTGTTACAAATCAGTTCCTGAGAAGTATTGTTGACTCAACGAGTTTTGCAAAATGTCTTCGGAATACGTCCAGATTAAATATATCAGTTATACCACGGTGCCTTTATTCAGTTAGAAATAGACCTGCAGAACAGTATTTTGTCATTTATTTCCAAAATGTCTACTTTCCAACACTTCTAGGAAAGCTTAATTAGGAACATAGGAGAGATAGAAATATATTTTTGAGAATCGATCAGTTAATGATCACACCATATTGCATCTGTCAAACAGTGTGAGCAGAACGCAATCAAAAACTGCTCAGATTTAAATGGTCTTCGTGGCATTTGCTTTGCTGTTATGTTGTGGATGATTCCTACATTTACTTCTTTGAGAGTTGCTCCATTTTCAAGTAACAAATCTTGAAAAGTACGTCAAATTCAGATGAAGAAGACCAATGCATGCATAGTCGATTTTACTCTACCACTCTGAGTGGTGAAGGGTGGTAAGAAAAACATGGCATGTATGAAGGCGCTCTACTTTTCTCTCTCGTTATTTTTTGTCTATAGGTATATCATTAATCGACATTAACTACACCTGTCGGCCTGGTTCAATCTCCAAAAATGGTACCTGTATAAGAAGACTTTAAAATGTTGTGCTGGAATGCAAATCACATCTCTGTTATTTACCATAAGAGAAGAGAGCAAATTATCGAGCATAATTCTTAATACGTTGCTTGTTGTACTTATTTCACGATTGGAAAATATCTGTGATTCAGAGTGATGTCAAAGATACACATATGGAATTTACGACCAACTTCTTTCATTTTCATTTTTCTTTTAAGATTTGGGAAACTAGCTGTACTCGGCGGCTTTTCCTATGCTTTTATTTTAGTAAGAAAGGAAGCCATTTAGCTGTAAAGTTTCGAGGTAATGGTACAAGGACAACTTTAAAACAACATATCAAACTTGACTTCGGTAAACAAAGCAAATGGTTAATTGCCTCTGATTCATGGTGTTTTATTGGAAAAACCAGCTTGAAAAATTGTATCACACTATGTTTAGCTAGATTACGGGGGACCTCAGTCAGTTTGGCTAGATGACTTCTTGATTGAGTTCAACTAGGTCTGGAGTTGGCAATAGCCACAGCACCTAAATCATGTCGTTACAACTTAATGTAAAAATCGCAGCTGCATTGGCAAGGTGCAGCTCTGTTTGACATTGATTAAGCTACATCATTCTGACTAGCTTTTCCACTTCATGGCTATAATAGATCGTTCTTCATTTAATTTTGCCAGACTTTAGCTCCATAAGCTTCGTTCTCAATAAGAGATCTTTAGTTGCGGCGTCCATCCGGAAAAATTGTTATTACCACTGTGGGCACCAGACGACGACAAAAACGATTAGGGCATCTTGACGTGGCGCATACCAAACGAACGAAACAGGTTTCATGAAGTGTGAAGCCCCAATCATGTCGAATTGAAAAGGTACCCACTACGAAATCAAGTGGGCAGTAATAAATTAATCTTCCCGATAGATGGTCAACTTTGCCTTCCAGAATACCTGCCCTAAGCTTGGCTCTGAACGTTTCGAAGACCATCCGTAAAGAAATGTGTGGATAAAATAAGGAAATGTCATCGGCATTTGTACGGTTGAAATGCTTTTCAATGATGTGCTGCTTATGTATCCTCAGTCGATAGAGACTCTCAATGCACCAGTAACAACGGGAGAGATTCATGGTAAAAATAGAAAAGGATATCAGCCAGAGCTCAGTTAAAAACTGCTGTTTTTAATAAATGGGATCTGCATGCTCAATCCCGCAATGCATTCTGATTGCCACTAAGTCAGAGTGCTTTGCGCGCCGCCGTATCGTAGTGGAGAGTAGCCCTTTAAGACCTACTTCACTTTCTGATGAAACCAGTTTTATTTTCTTGGAAAATTAAAGACGAATTTCGTGGGATGACGGCAAATTGTGTGCCGGACTCGTACTTTGGAATAGCCCAATAATCAGAATTTGAACTACTGACGATTTCTTCAACAAAAGCGCTGACGCGCTCCATACACGTGTTTTTGGTCAAGCAGGAGTCGTGGGCCGAATGTATCGCTTAAATAGGTATTTCTGGACGTATTCATTGAAATAAACCTACGAACGATGCGAGCTTTGAGCGCATATCTGGTCGAGTGGTCGAGTCCTTTGAAACGTTCGCATGATAGCGATCAACTGACTTTCGAGACTATGCTTGTATATGTCTCAGTGAACTGGAAAAGTAGGCGAACCCATGGGTCAGTGCAGGAGACACTGTCCACGTAAGAACAAATATGAATTCTTTAAGAACTCGGCGAGTACTTAGCGAAACTTGTCTTGCTGTAGATAGATAGATAGACTGTGTTTTATTAAAATTACATTGCAGATAAAACTGAATTGCGTAACTTCACATTA